GGTGGGGGCGCGGGAGATGCCATCGGTGAGTCTGGAACTTTTGCCTGGATGCCGAAGCTCCTAGTATCCAGGAGAATGCGATTCACTTCTTCTGCAAGTGAGTGGTAATCCTTCGCGGCCAGCAGCGGGGAGTTGGCAAGGCCAGCTCGCACCGGCAACTGTTGTAGGAAGACGTGAGTGAAGAGGAATCCACCGTCATCCGTTCCTAGCAAGGACGACGTGCTCTCCGTGACCTCGAGTCTAGTACCATCACCCAGGCCCGAGAGAGAGGAGTTTCTCGCCTGCTCTGCATTGGAGAGGGAGTAGCACCACAGCAGCAGCCCTTGTGAGCGATGTATTTCCCTTGGGTGGGGGATCCCAGAGGAGGGTCATCACACGGTGGGTGAACAACAGATCCAGCAACACATGATGGTATTTTGTGTCGTTGGCCAAAATGCCACGAAGAGCAAACTGAGTTTTGACGTGCACAAACCATGAAGGAGGGTCATGAAGCCAAAAATCCGGCAGCTTAACCGCCACAGCAAAAATTAAAACGTACAGTACAGCTCTGCTATCACTTCCGGCACAAATGAAGACAGAAAACTAAACAGCAGTGGCGTTTGTAGGGTTACTGAAGTTTGGCTAGCTGGTATATAATGATGTGCTGCGTAGTGGCTAGCTACACAACTGTGGTTATGGCATAATATAAACACAGTGAAGCTGGAGGATGAATACTAACTTTTTTTCCACTCAGTGAGGGTTCCCGATGGTTAGGAACAAATGTAATTGCATGGCAGGGTGCTGTTAACAGACCAAACTTCAGTCAGGAGAACAACTGCAATATAAGTTTAGTCATTAATATACTGCTGCATGGGCTGGGCTGTAGTTACATTGTAAGGTTTTGAAAACTGAGCTTTAAAAGGAATAGTGAAGATAAAAACCGAGAGAGCCCAGCAGTGATCACTGACTTTTTTAGGGGCTTGTTCAGATTAAATAGAACAAAATATAAAGCATTAAAACATGGTAAAAACACAACAGCCATAATAAATGTAGCGTAGTTTGGACCGGGAAGCAGGTTTCATCAGGTCATCACTTAAAGATTGGATATCCCACCTGTTGTGAATGTTTTATTTATTTATTTATTTATTTATTTATTTTTTTGTGTCCCATTTGGATCTTTAGCCATCAGAATTGTTGTCTTAAGGCCAAGAAAGATGCCAAGCGGATTTATTTTACCAAGTGGATCATCATGGCCTTGCCATATTGGTCCATTTGATTGACCTTTATTATAATTATGAATTTATTTTATTTTCAGTTGCTACAAACGG